GTTGAAATTCATCGTCAACTTGTAGAGATTTATGGTGAAAATGTAATGAGTGATGGAATGGTTAGAAAGTGGGTTCGACAATTCAATGCTGAACGCACTGATGTTCATGACGAAGCATGGAGTGGCTGGCCTGTTGTCAATGATGGTTTGGTTGCAAAAGTGAATGAAAAAATTCCTGAAAACAGACGGTTTACAATAAGATTGCTTTGTGATGAGTTTCCACAAATTTCAAATACTGTTTTGCATGAGATTGTTGCAACAACTGATGTTAAGCAGTGGCTGTCTTCACTGGCGGCATCTTTCTTTGAAGAGGGAATAGACAAGTTGGTTTCCCGATATGACAAATGTCTGAACAATGGTGGTAACTATGTAGAAAAATAGTTTCAGACATGCTCTTTCATGTAAAAATAAATTTTGTTTTGAAAAAAATATTTTTATGCAAGTTTTTCCAAAACGGTACTTACTTTCCGGACATACCTTGTATATATATATATATTATTTACAATACATACATACTTATTTTTATGAATTTTAAATCATATTTTACTCCAAAAAAATTTTTTAAATTCTAAACAAATACTTAAACATATAGTATTAACAATTTTATTTACCAAACATTTTTAAAAATTACTGGAAAAAATTACAACTGACCTGTTAAACCAGCACCAGCAACACCAAAAAGAGAACTTATGACAGCAATTCCAGCAGCAGATCCTAATGCTGCTGCACCAGCACCACCAATAATTGCTCCAGCTCCAGCTGCTACAAAGGGAGCAGCTAAACCACCAGTTAATCCTGTAAGAAAAATTTTTATTTTAGGGTATAAAAAAACACTAAATATTTGATACATAATTCAGAATTATTTGGATAATTTAACACATCTATCATTAATTTGCTTATTTTTGGTTTTATCAACTACAATGGTACCTCGGTATACGTCTGCTTTAGAATACGTCCAATTCGGAATACGTCCTGTTTGGTATAAGTCCAAACATCAGGAACAGATTAAGGTCATATACCAAGGTTCCACTGTATNCGGTATACGACTTAATTCTACGCGCCATCTATGAACAAGTTGCACTATCGGTATACTAGACCAGACTAGACGTTCGCGGTGCCACAGTTTATAACTTTGTTAAATTTCTTTTTATTTTAATTTGTAAGTAAAATGTTATTATTTTTATTAATCATGAATTGCAAAAACGCAACAGAAAAATTAAAAAAAAATTACTAAAATCACAATGGAACTGAAAAAAGAGATTGTTGAGAAATATGAAGGTGGCATGTGTGTTTGAGATTTAACTGTTGCATACCGTATTCCGAGAACGACGATACCAACAATCGTGAAAAATAAAGTCATTATTAAATTTGCTAACATTGCGAAAGGGGTTAAATCAATTTCTAAACATAGATCGAAGACATTAGATCATGTTGAGAAATTGCTTTTGCTTTGGATAATTAAAAAACAGTGTGCTGGTGACAGCGTATCAGAAGCAATTATTTGTGAAAAAGCTAAAAAGATACATGCTGATCTCATGAAAAATCAAGCAGGAACTAGCCAGGAAAGCGAGGTGTTTAAAGCCAGCCATTTTTTTTTTTACATGAGAACGGATTAATCATTTTTACATTACTTCTTATGGGAAAGGTTGGTTTGGTATATGTCCTGTTTGGTATAAGTCCAAACATCAGGAACAGATTAAGGTCATATACCAAGGTTTCACTGTATTTGAATCTTGCTTAAACTGAATTACAGAATATCGCATCAAAATTGAGATACAGGAAATCCTTATTAGTTCGAAATTCAAATGACAAAATAAATAATCACAACTTTGACTTATCCAAGATTTACATATTTCTGTGCTTATGCCAAATGCCATGTAACTGATGTAATTTATTAATGAAATGAAGTATAACTATGTATACAGAATTCTATTTTCATTAATTAATAATTAATAACGAGCAATTGTGACATCATCACAATGCTGGGCTGCAATTTTTAATCATATATTTATATCTTTTAAAATATATGTTCTCTACCTCACATTAGTATTGTAGTGTCTTGCCCCTGTACACCATGCTTTTCCATTAGCAATGGAGCCATGCTGGTCACTGCTTTGAAGAAAAAATGTTTGAATTGAAAAATAACATGACTTCCAGTTTGCATTGGAAGTTCATATATAGTTAATTGGGGCCTCCTGCCCTAAAGGTTTCCATATCTGGTCTCATCTTTAATCTATTTACTGTAACTCCATTCTTGAGATTAAAAAAAGATAGATGGATGAACAGATAACAGTGGAAATTTATAGGTCTACAGTTTTTTCAAATTGCAGTCAAATAATAACAAATAAACTGCAGATAAACAGCATATGTCCAGTGAGAACCTCACAGATTGCCAGAAAGGTTTTATAAAAAGTAAAGCAGAATTCCTTGAAATGTAGCCCAAATTATTTCTAAAGTAGCCTAAAAAGTGGTAAGTTGCCCAAATGTAGTAGCCTAGAGCCCTACAAATATCTCAATCTGCTACTAGTAGCCCAATCTCTCAATCTCAAAACCTAGCCATATTTTATGAGATAAGAGAAAAAAAGGTAGTCCATGGAAAAAATGACACCTAAAAATGTGTTACTGCAAAAGCTAAGCCATGTTAACCAGATTAGAGTTGTTCTTAGTCTATTGTTCTCTTATAGAATGGAGGAATTTTGATCTAAATGAACAAGTTAACATATGCATATCACAGTTTGAACAGAATTTTCATTTTGAATTTTGAAATAGCCATATTTTGAACTAACCAAATTCTTTAAAATGTAAATCTCTATATTAGAGATGCCATGAATATTCAGCTATTATTCGGTATTCGACCTATTCAGCTAGTATTTTTAATATTTGATATTCAGCCAAATACCAAATCATGGAAAAAAAAAACGCACATATTACTTAAAAACATATTTATTTTAATCACAAATTATTACATTTAATACTTAAAATCTATCAGTGGTAAGTTGTGATGAATGAAAACAATTTTTTTAGCATTTGTTGATAGCAAACGATTGCATTTTTCCTCATAAACTATACCTGCATCTGAAAATAGCTTCTCACTATATACACTACTGCCGGGAGACAATAGATAAATCTTAGCGAATTCTGTCAGGCTTGGATACTGTTTTGTGTTTGCTGACCACCACTTGTAAAGGTCTACCATATGATCTAGGTGAACAGTTTTCATATAAAATGATACAAACAGTGATATTTTTTAGTAATAAGGACTATTAGTAACACAATTTGATGTAACAATGAACAAATAATGCATGTTGTGACATGATCTACTCGCAAATAAAACAAATGCGCCCACGGTGTCACTACCATACCCACTGCAATGATACAGGTCTTAACCTGTCACCTGCAAAATATACACATATTTTGCCAAACATTCAACTGCAGAATATTCGGCACTTCGGCTGAATATTCGGTATTCAGTAAAATCACTATTCGTGGCATCACTACTCTATATCCCAAGCTGGGACAAAAGTACAGTTATGAACTAACAGAATTTCAAACTATCCAAGTTCGAATTAACACAGGTTTCCTGTACTATTTTTTCTCTAATTAACTTATCTGTATCTTGAAAAATCATAATTTATAAAATGATGACAGATGACAGTAACATTAATGTTATAGAGAACAGAAGTTTGTTTATAATTTCATATTTTGATACAACTTGTTATGTAATGACTTTATTAGAATTTGAAACTTTGAATAAAAATAAACAATCATGAATTTATTTCTGTAGTTATATTTACATTTCATATTTAACAGAAGCTATTTGATCATTCTCTGACTAAAGCTTTTACATATACATACTTACAATGTTGATATATCAATAAATAATAATATTATTGAAAAAACTTTGAGAAATGAAAAAGAGAAAAGAGTTGATATTAAAAGTGGATGAAATGACAACATTAAGGGCTGAACTTTTTCATGGTCATTATTTTGCTTAAAATAATAAATTATCAACCTCCAGAAGAAGGTGTAATTGTAGCCTGCACATATCTCCTAAATCTGCCATTGGAAATGGAAAAGTTAAGAGAGGGTTAATTGAAAAGACGAGAATTTTTAAGAAAGTTTGAGAATAGTTATTAATAATAATAGTGAGTGAAATAGTTTATCAAATTCATGAAATTAAATAATTGAAAAGGAACAAGGAAATTTCAAGAGTAAAGAGTGAAATAGGAATGATGTAGGGATCTTAAAGGGAAGATTGTCAAGACTTTTAATAAGAATTACATACACTCAATTCTTACTACATCCACTTTCAGTGTCATTTTAAAAATGGCTGTTGGCTACAAAGCCAACAGACATTCTTAAAATGACAACTGGAAAATAAAATTTATGCAAATAAGCAAAGCAAATGTGTGTTAAAAGAGGAATGTATTTAATATCTTTAATATTTAGTATTAAAAGCTATATTAATTTTTGACTAATTTCTAATGTAAACTGATATTGTTTGAGAGTGAAATTTTTGAAGGTAGTATAGTTTTTCTTTTTGATAATTATTGTTAGAATAGTGTCCCTGAATTATAGGAATCTAAAAGCACTTGAAATAATAGTACGTGAACAAAAAATTAGTAACGAATATCTGACTTGGTATTAAAATTGATTTTGTGTTCAAGTTTTTCTAAATTATCATTGTATTTTGTAAATTGTTTTCATGTAGAATTAAGAATTCAGAATAAGACAAGGCAAGGATTCTAATTAAAAAGAAATATCAATTTGCTTGTTAAGTAAAAAGACAAACTTCATACACTAAGATAAAATTATTTCAAATAAAACATAATATAGTGAAATGCAACTTTGTGTGGTTTTAATTTCATTTTCGAGTACAGGTATACCTCGACTTACGTCGTTCCTGATTATACGTCGTTTGTCAAAAAAGTATATAGAAAAATAAAAGTCAAGTTTAAGTCATTTTATTCGACTTTATGTCTGTCTGCCACAAATATTGAAGTCGTAATATCACTAGAAAAATGTTTAAAGCACATAAAATCATATTATAATATATACATTTACAAGTATATACTGTATTTACAGTACATGCATTCATAAATTTAAATTACTTTTTTCTGTACTATATTAAAAACTAAAATTTATTTGTTTGTAAGCTTAAAATAGATCCTTATTAACCATATATTATTAAAAATGCATTAATAAATAAAATACAGAACAGCAATTGGTAATTTATGGTTTAGCCTAGTGGCAAGTAGATTCGGAGACAAGTAAATTCGACTTATGTCATTTTTCAACTTAAGTCGTTCTCCTGGAACCAATTACCGACGTAAGGCGAGGTATACCTGTACAAATTTTTTATTATATGACAAAGTTTATAAGTTATAAACAATGCTTAGAAACTAGTTTTATCTAAACATTTTCTTCAATTAAATGTAATTTTATTTTAGAACTATTCAATTCAACATTTTCCAGATATTTTTCTTAATTAATAAAACATTAAGAACATTGAAAATTGCTGGTTATTCATCATTTGATAAAAGTAATTCATTTAACAATTTTTAACATTAAAAATTATTTTATGAAAATTTTAGAAGTTATCTCATTTTAATATATTTTTGAAATTTAATATTAGTTTTTTTAGGGAACTTTTAAAAGGAGTAGTAATCATATGCTTGTAAAGCATATGATTGTAAAGCTTGTAAAGCATATGATTACAACCCCTTGTAAAGCATTACCTCTGTTAACAATTTGAATTAATTAATTAAATTTAGTTCAAATATAATGGTCCATGT